ATTTTCTTAAATATTGCTATATTTTTGTGTGCTTTATTTAATTGAAGTAATCATTGAATATTTGGGTTGGAAAAGAAAGCCTCCAGCAGAAAGTGACCACTGCAGAAGGTGGAGTTCAGTATTGGCGGCACCACGTGAATTTGTTTACTTCCTTAGATATTTCTTCAGGAAATGTTCTTATAAACATAATTCCCATGTGCAGGCTGGAGCCAAACACCTCACATTTTAAGCCAGTAATTCAGTTCTGTAAAGGGAATGGTTTCTCTGGAAGAGATTTAGCTGAGAGAATTTCCTCATCTGTCAAGGTTGAAGGCAAATGGGATTATGTGTGGTTGGTTTTTTTCCCTCTATCTGTGTTTTAAAACCAGAACTGTTGGTGCTTATTTAGGATATAGCTGGCTTGAAATTTGATTTAGGAATTAAAAAATCAATGCTGCAGATCCAAGATAAGTAAGAAGCCTTTGTTTCGGAGGTTAAGGGAACAAGCCCTTTTAACTCGGTGTTAAATAAAAATTGCCTGAATTTGCTGTTAGCATCTTCAGGCCATCTGAGCAGAATCCATGGCTGCCTGGGTAGGCATTGTGTGGTTTTTTCCTGCTATGCTGTGCTTCTGGTGGCTTGCTGGAGTGGCTCTGTAGGTGACTCAACTGAAATGACCTCCTGAAGATGTGCTGTGTCTGTAGAGCTTCTGCAGCTGTATGGGGCTTCTTCTGTCGTGTCCGGGACTTTAGAAGCTGTAGAGTAAAAGAACTGCCGGTGAGGAAGGAGAAAAATGCTGGCAAATGGTTTGGGTAAGGTCATTTAGCTACCATGTGTACTTGGGGAAGAAGTTAATTCATTCCAGGGAATGCCAGTGTGTCTTGGTGTTAGTGTGGGAATTCTGGTGACCTCCATCCATCCATTGTGCAGTGTCCACAGGAATTCTGGAGAAAAATAATCCATTGTTGGCCGATGAAGGGCAGCATTTCCTCTCTGTTCCCACTGAGCAGTGCTTTGTGTTAGGCGGTACTGGGAGAGGTTATCTCAGCATTCCAGATGTTTCTCAGCCAGGTTATCCCCCATACACCATCCTCAGCTCGTGACTGTGCAAAGAGCTAAAGCCTCATGGAAATATTACTTACCTGTTGTGTCACCTCGTTTTCACATGAGGTAATAGTCCTACACCAGGCTAAAAGTCAGCCACAAAGCCAAGCATGTCTTTAATGCATCCTTGTTTGTGCATGCAGTGTTTTCTTTAAGGCTGGATGTTGTCATTAGGATGATTTTGTTGGCATTACCCAGAGCAGTTTTTGACCAATTCAAATTACTGGTGTTTGATGTACAGGAGTCATTCCTCTTCTGTATTTTACCTGCATCCTCAAATTCCTGGAGCATAATGCTATATTCTAGGAAATGAGCTGAAGTAAACCTTGATTTTATGTTTTTCCCTGCCCCACCCCAATATCTTATGTGGTATTAATCATCAGGAGTGGATAATGTGTCCTAATAAGCAGCTGCTCAGAGCGAGAAAACAGAGCTAGACAGATGTTGGAACATTAAGAAATAGGATGAAATATTGCTATTTATAATATCAGTTTGGGGTTTCAGCCTCCGTTCAACTCAAGTTCAACTTGAAACAATCAAAAAGCGTCAAGATTTTTTATTTTTTAGGTTTAAACTGAAGACATCTTGCACACAGTAGTGAAAGTTGAAGCTTCTGCTAAGGGGCTGCCTCATATTTGGGCTCAAAAAGTGCTTGCCCTTGCACTGCTGTATAAGGAATGGTTCTGAGTCCATACATCTGTCCAGCTGTGCAGGAGCAGTTTTGGGGACTACAATCCTATCAGAAGGGGGGAAAAAAAACCCTCTTGGGCAGGGAATGATTCAGAGATAAGAGGAGGAAGATTGCTCTTATCCTCCCAGCTGTACCTGCCGGTTCTTCCCACACACAAGAAAAAAGCCAAACCCTTGAAGGAGAAGCTGGAGCTCCCTTGTGCATCTGTCTGGCAGGTGACTCACGTGTTTTCCTGTCCTGGAGCTTTCCCATTTCCAAACCTCAGGTATTCTTGTCCTGAAATGCTTTGCCAGTGGAATTTTCCTCTTGGTACTGTTCTGCAGGTGAGAATTGTTCTCCTCCACAGAATGGGGAACAATGCTTTAATGAAGTTGAAATTTTCAAGTCATGATGTGACTTGGTTTTTTTTTTCCCCTCAAGTGCTCAGTGCTGTTCAGCCCCTGCATCAGCGTGGGTACTAATCCCACTGAAGCTGGGGGAGTTGGGCTTGGAGGAAAAAAAAAAAAAGGGCATTTGGTGCTCCTCCCAGCCACTTGGGAAATGATGTCGTTGAGAGAAAAAAAACCCTCAGTAAGAGAAAAAACACATTTCCAGTTGATGGGTTCCTGGATCCAGTTTGTCAGGCACAAGAGCTTGTGCTGACACAGCAAAGGGCAGGGAGGAGGATGAGCACTGCCTCTTTGGGTGGGATAATTCATACAAATCCCTGTCACAGAAAACATTTGCATTGTTTCTGGGGACTCCAGTTGGTAAGAACGGTACAGATGGGGGAGAATTTTTGTCTCCAAGGGCAAACTAGTCCCCTTGACACTTCCTCTGGATCTTCTGTTTGGAAGTGACTGGAAAAGATAAATCACACAGAATTCTTATTTTTAATTTTATTTATTTTTATTTATGTAGCTTAAAAACTTAGGGCTTCTTCAGATAAAATCAGCACTGACTTTTGTCTCTGGTATTTGTTCAAATTCTTGAAAGCAGTGTATGAAGGATAGGGAGCAAGAGAGGAATTAAGCAGGATTTTATTCAAGTGCTGCAGCCTTTTGGTTTATCACCATCACTTTTGTGTCATGTAGTGCAGTGCAGCAAAGGAGTCACTTTGGAGACTGACTAAAAAAGTGCCAATTATGATTGTAATCATAACACAAAGGAGAAAAAAAAGCACTTGGAATGCTGCAGTCTGCTCCCTGGATGAACATATGCCTTCTGTCCATCTCCATCACTAACAGAAGTGAGAGCTGCCATAACAGCATGCTGGTATTTTTGTGGAGAATCAGCTCCATCAAGGAAATCCTCAGGGATAAATCTAGTGGCCAACTTTCTGTGCTAAACTTTGGAAAAGGGCTTTTCTGGAGCTGGCAGGAGGGGGGAAATGTCTGCAGCTGTGTGTAAAATCACTCTAAATGCACGTGTGTCTTCAGCTTGAGGAGGTTTACTAGTGTCTTGAAGTTGAGGTGGGTTTTAGAAGGGTGCTGGCACAGCTGGGTTCTGCAGCAAGGCTCAGGCCAGAGAATGGCCCAGGGTGCTGGCTTACCTGAGCAGCTTACCTCTGCCAGGGTGGGGAATCTCTGGGGGAACAGCAGAGCCAAGGGCAGTGCTCCTTATCAAAGCTGATGGGGATGTTAATTCCTCCTGTGCTTCGGAGCAGTTGTGTCCCAGCGCTGTTTAGTTACATCACAGTGTGGCCAAAACCTAGAAAAATCTTCCAATAATAATAATAATAATTTATTGGTTTGGCAGAAGTGTGTGAAGTAGTGACACCCAGTAAGCACTTCCTTGAGCCAGTTAGACTTGAAGTAAGGTAACCAGTAGAACTCTCAATGAACTTTATTTGGGGAAAAAAAAATTACATTAAGAAGAATTGCCAAAATGTCTTCAAGAAAGGCAGATGTCTTTGATGGTGGCTTTCATTGTAATCCAGAATTGGCTGTTACAGAGTACACAGCCTTTCCAAAAACCATTGGAATACTTGTTAATGGAAATAACTCAAGCAATTGATTTCATAACAGAAGTATTGTCTACCCAGTCCACAAGATACTTAATTTTTTTTTTAAAACTCTTTGTCAACTTCCGCAGCATTTATTGAACTTGGTCACAGTTCACGTAGAGCACATCTTGAATCGAGGGCAAGCGTTTGAGAGTTAAATGTTGTATCTTCTGGTAATCTGAGCTAAACCAAACCTGTGGTTTTATTTGTGAAAGCCCAGCAAGGAAGAGATGGGGAACAGGAGGGATTGAGCTCCCGTGTTCAGCTGGGAGTGATTCTGTCTGGCAGCCGGTCCTGCTACACTGGTAGTAAGTGCTGGGAGTTGTGCTGTGTGGTACCAGTTAGTGTCTCATTTTTTATTCAGTTCATGTGTTATTCCTTCTTCAGCCTTATCCAACAGCTTGTTCTGTGAAATTCCAGGCTTGATATTGCTGTCAATGAACGGAGTAGGTTTTCCAGCCACTTTGGTCTGTGAATTTGAAGATGCCAACTGATTATTGAGGGTTCCGTAAAAGTAACAAACATCAAGTACATTGTTATGGTTCCTGCTTCTGGAATAGGTTTCAAAACTGGTATTAACAAAGTCCAAATTCATTATGAACTGCCTGAATATAGAGCTGTTGAAACAGCCATCTGGTTCACAGCCAGGGAAAGAAAGGCAGGGACATCCTGATCCAGCGGGTCCTGGATTAGAATTTGATGTGAAAATACTCAATATAAAATGCACTCAAATAGAATTTATGTATAGAAGTAAATGCTGGATGAGGCCACTGAGAAAGGAGTAGGACACTTTGTCCTAAAAAGTGGCTTTTCTTGGTTTAAGGTTTCCTAATGCTTGGCAGGGAATGTGTCTAAGCTTGGAAACATCCGAAGAACTTGCACTCAATTTTTCACGTTCTAATGCGGAGACACCTTGGATTAGTAGCTGCCTTAGGCTTTCAGGGGTGTTAGTGTGAACCTGGTTGGACTGTACATGCTGCTTTTCTGTATTTCATATGTGGAATGAAAAAGGAATAGAAATTAATTCGTTCGAAGAAGGATCTTCTGTGTCCCAAGCTGTGTTTTCCGAACGTGTCCTTCATTTAACTTGTGTTTTTTCCCAAAACCAGGGTTCTTTAGTGTGTTCAAAGTGCTTGGAGCATTGTATTACCCAGTGAAAACTTTACTCTGTGGATAACTTAAAGCAAGATCTCTTATAGAAAGCATCCTTTAGACAGAAATGTCCACCAGTGACGATCTTACACTTGTGCCAAAAAACCCTTTCAAAACGCTTGTGTAATTTTGTCTCCCTTTTTCACCTTTGGTCAGGTACATGTGGACTTGCATTGGGCCCTTCCTCCATAGCAAAATCATAGAAACTATCTTCACTGGGCTGTTTTTTAGTGGTGGTGTAGTTCAATTCCTCTTCAGGGCGGTGCTGTGGATGAGTAAAGATACTTTCTTTCCTCCTTTTTCCATGCTTAGGCTTGCTTTCTGGAGTTGAAATCCAAAATAATAGGGCTGATGTAAGCAGTGACCAGGACAGAAGGCTCCTGGCTGACGAGCAGGGTTTGTTTCTCTCGGTGTCAGGGTGCTGCTTGCTTGCTGGGCTATAAACTCTGCTCAGGTGTCAGATGCATTTAGGCAGAGATAAATAAAGACTTAATTCAGAAGTGGTTTTATGTCGTGCCTCTCGCTTCTGTCTCAAGATGGATGGTGTAACAGTAAGAGGCTGCTGATGAAGACGATTAGCTCACGACTCTTGACCAGAGTGTTGCAGTGACATTGCCTGTCTTCAGGTTCCTGGGAAAAGTGCTGTAAGCTGAGTGCTTTTTGGCTGAGCTTGTGTGATCTGTTGCTGGATCTTTATATTTCTCTTAACTTCCTGGCGTGATGGTGCTAACTCTTAATTCAGTTGTGGAATTAATCACCTTTTTTAATTGACCTTGAATGAGAAATCATCTGTGAAATGATTTCCCAATTTCCCAGCTATTACTGGGAGGAGGTCTCCATCTCTTGGAGAGGGCTTCTCTGGGCCTGGAGTCCTATTCTGAGGTCCCACCACATCCTGACAGTTCATGCAAGCGTAGTGCTTCTGTTCAGGGAGAATAGATCAGAGGAGGGTTTTGTCAAGGGAACTGGGGAAGCTCCTCCATCAGACAGGGTCCTAAGTACCCTAGTCTCCCAGCACTCAGTCTTGAAACTCTTTTAGCGTTATGTAATGTTTTTAAATGAACATAAAAAACCTTGGGATATGTTAACTGTGGTGCTTTCAAAGGCAGTGAAGTCAGACACCTTTTCCAGATTCTAGTTTACTCAGTGCTGTGGAAAACCTAGATCTCAAGGATACCATAAGGAATAGAATTCCATCCTTTCCAGCTTTGTCTCTTTCCCAAAATGAGTAACACTAACTGCACAGAAAGCACTGAATGGGTCAGAAGGGTCTGGAATGCCTTGCTGCTGCCCTAGGCCAGGGGAAGAATAGGCTGGAGAGAAATGAAAGATCTGTCTTGGCAGAAAAAGTAGTTTTTTTGAGTGGGAAATCATCTTGGATGGTCAAAAAAAAGTTGTTACATGCTTGTTAGAGAAGAAAAATATGTGTCTTTGTTATCAAAGTTTCCTTGTCTGTGAAAGATAACGGAGCTGAATGGAGGGGGGAGTGATAATGAGCATGGGCAGCAAGGATCATCTTGTGACTGTAAAAATCATGTGAAAGCTCCCCTGCAGCTTTTGGCAGGAAAGTCTGAAAAATGCTCAGAGAGAGACATTGAATTATAAGGCTAAAGGAAGAAAAAATTCAGAATAAAAGTATGTTTTCAGTATTTATCAGGTTAAAGCCCATCATCCCTGCACATCCCCACCCCAGTATTGAAAATGAAAGGAAGAAAGTAGGTTTCTTTTATTTGAAATTCACTAAAGCACCTGCCTGAAGAATGTTGGAAATTTAGGCCTACAAGTGCAGAGCTGCAATTGCTGCAAGAAGTGAAGTAAAAGGAACCAATATACAATGTGAAAATAGAAAAAACAGATGGGGGTCATGACTTCAGGCAGTGCCTGAGGTTTGGGTTTGGACTGACTTGTTTTTATGTAACCACCAAGGATCTGGAAGTAGGAGTTGGATGAATCTCTCTGGAGGGAGAAGCTGAAACAGTAAGTGTAAAACTCATTTTGTTTTGTACTGACATAGAACTAAGAACTAAAAACTGCACCAAGTGGTGACTGATGCAAACTGCCACAAAGCAGAGATGATGCTTTTGGGGTATAACAAGATTTTGTATTCAGGAAAGAAAAGAGGATACAAGAAGTAGCAGAGAAGGATGTTTTTAGTGTGTTGGTGTGGTTATAGTGCTATGATGGAGAGCTCCAAGTTGTAGGCTGTAGCTCCTAATGAAGGCTGATAAATCCTAGTGCATTTATCTGGAACAGTGAATACCCTTGGGGGTATCTGTTTGGGGAAACATTCACTTCTGGCTTAGTTGTAAAGGGGGTTTAAAAATTGCTCTTTTTTTCTAAGAGCAGATATAAAGAGCTGGGTTCAGTCCAGCAAAACGAATGTAGGTGGGAGTATCATCACTCTAAAAATGGGAGAATTGATCCCAACACAAGTTTGAAGCAGCCTTTGGAAAATCTATGTGGATATTCATTGCACTGAGTATTTTTCTTGTATATCAACACCTGCTCCAGTATCTTGTCATGTTTTTTTGTTTCATGTCAGAAGAGCAAACTTGGTCTTTTGAAGGTTTTAATGATGGAATTTTTCCCCTTGGTGAATTAACTGAGTTTTCTGATTTCAAGGGTGTTTCTAATCAATGTGAAATGCTCATTTTGTGTATCTTTTTTGGGTTTTTCACTGTGATAGGTACCTCAGTTTTCAAGGTGCTTGTGTGACAGTGGTGGGGGTTTTGCCTCTTGGCACTCTAGCAGATAATCAGAATTTGGGCTGGAAAACCACTCTGGGTTTTGGTCTTAACTGTCTCAGGAACTTTTGGATTTTGTCTGACTGTGTACCTACTTCTGGAAAGGGAAATACTTGGGAATGCCTGCTAAAGGATGTAACTGATAATTGGTTCTGTATTGAGGGCCTGTCTTCAACTTTCCTTTTTTTTCTTCTCAGAATGATTTGGTTTTTTTTAGTAATTAATGCACCTCATGACTTTGCTGAATAAGGTGTTACAGTAGCTGCACGGGATAGGGTTTAAACAGCCCAACCTTGACACTGTGCTCTGTGGCTCTGAAAACCCACAAAAAAAGTGTGTTTATATGCTTTGGGACAGTTGGTGACCAGTACTGCTTGATCAGCTGTAAATAGATAACAATGTGCTTTTGTGATATAAGAGTGGGAATTGTCTGATCAATTGTTGAGTGCTCACATTCCTGGGTGCCAGAATCTGTCTCGGATCAATGGTTGAAATGCTTGTGCTTCAGGGTGACGTGATGCCAGTTCAAAAATCCCTGGTGGCTTTGCCTGGAAGGTTGGGAGATCTTCCCAAAAACTGTCTGCGAGCTCCTGAGCGTGTACAGCTCTAGTCTGCATGAACAACCAGGCTCTTGTGGAGGTTTTTGTTCTCCCCTTGGTCATTTCCAGCAGGGCTGTGTGGGGATCACACTAAACCAGCCTTGATCTGTAGCCATCCCTAGCTCTGCTTTTCTCGGGACGCTCGCAGGATTCCCCTTGGCTTAACACGCTTCATGTGCCTTGAAACAGGACTTTTTCCCCTTTTTTAAGACTGTCTCCTCAAGCTGTCCTTCAGATGTTCTCACTGCCACCTTCTGTGTGGGTTTTGTGTGGTTTAGGCTCACAGAGTGTAGGGGATGTGCTGGGTGGACACAGCTCAGACAGCTGCGTGGTTTTAGGGTACCTCGAGGCTGATGTTTACTAGTGGATGGTAATAAATGAGGGCACGGAGTGGATCATGCCCTTCAGCATAACAGTAAATAAAGATTGTTGGGTTTCAGCTAGGAGCTGAGATGTTTTGAGGAGATAACGTGTTTTATCTTTTCTAATCAACCGGTCTGAGTAATTCCTAGAGCTGGACATGAAAGTGAGGAACAAACAGGTTTGTGTTCACCTGTGCAGAACTGAAGATGCATTTCCTGACCTGTGTGTAAAACCTGAAATGACACAGTAGAAATACAAAAGAAATTAAACTCAAGAGTACTATTTTTTTGTTTTTTTCTGTTAGAAAGTTCTTTTTTTTAATTCCTTGATTTTTCAGGAACAGAATGGAAGCATGTGTTACTTCACTTTACATCACTGTGAGATCTTTAGTAAAACATAAAGAGCTGGGGATGGGCCTTTTAGAATTTGGTATTCCACACTGTAAATAATTTTGGAGTGTGAAGGAAAGTATGAAATTTCATTTTGCAAACAAGTGCTTCTTTCTAAGACAGCACTAAAGATTTGCAGATGAAGGTGGGCCGGGGGAGAGGAGGAAGGATTGGGTATGGAGGTTCTGAGTGTGAAATTTGCAATGTTCTGTGTGCTGCCCTCAAACAAATGTTGAGGGTGACTTGCTTTCCTTGCCTTTCAGGAAGGTTTTCCACTGCCCTCAAGGCTCACACACAGAACCTGAGTCCTGGCCTCACTCACGGTGTGGGGGAAGCTCTGAATTTTCCTTTTTGGGTTAGGGTTTTGTGACTGAAGTGATGCTGTTGCAGCCAGGGCTCTGAAGGTGATTGTGTTCGTTCCTCTCCTGAAAACCTGGTGCTTGTTTTGTGGAGCTGGAGGAGACAGTGCTGTTCAGTTTGTCCTGTGTGGAGCAGGCAGCCACTTTTGTTCTTGTGTAGTGCTGTCTTTGCATTTGAAAATGTTTTCAGTGGTGTCATGTGTGAACTATCCCTGGCTCAGTACTAAATTATTTTAAGCTGCTTTGTTGGGTTTTTTATTTGTTTGTTTTTTGTTTTGTTTGGGTTTTTTTTTTTAATTTTATTTTGGTGTGGTATAAGGTATCCGTTAATTCTTTCTGAGGATCAGAAGACTGAATAACTTTTGAGACATGAGTGTTATGTGGGAGGTGATGGCTGTTTTTTTCCTTTTATATACATATATATATACACACACATGAAGAAATCCTTGGGACTGTCAGGGACAGCTTTGTACTTGGGCTAATGTTTGTGCTTTACTGCTGGATTTCATGTACATGGGCTGCTGGGGCTGTTAGAAATGCCACCCTAAAAGCATGATTCCAGAGGAACCGTGGAATATTGTTCTGTGCCTCTTCCTTGAATTAATTCTTGTAAAACAGTGGAAAATCTGGGGTGTTCCCTAAAGTGGAAAAATAGTATGGATAGCCTGGGCAACTGTTGAGTTTGTATAAAATGAGGGGCTTTGTAATAGATGAGTAGGA